AAAAAAATATAAATTCTATATACTTCATAATTATTTAACTATTAACAATAATAAATATATAATATAATTTTAATTAAAGAAAATTAACAATTATTTGCTATTTTTATTATTTGATAATCTATAAATAGTTTAAGTTGATTTTTATCATTTAAATTGAGTCAATTATTGAAAATTTTTGAAAAGTTAATAAAAAAGTATTTAATAATAAAATTAACCAAAAACACCAAAATTTATTTCACTTTTAAATATGAAAATAGTTTTTTGAATTAATTAATGTGTATATAAGTTTTGCATAAGGTAAAATTTTCACAAGTCAGACTTTGATTTGTGGAAACAGTGTGGTCACTTTGTGTCAGAGTGACCACACCGTAAAACAATTAAATAATCTAAAATTATTAAAAAAGGAATTTTATGTGCAATTTTATTTTATATTTTTTGTTTATATCTTTTTGTATAATTTTTGTTTCATTAATTATCGCCAATAAAAATATACATAAATAAAACATAATTTAATTTAGTTGTTCATACAAAAGTTTTAAATTTTCAACAATTTCACCTGCAGATAATCTTTCTGTGTATTTTTCTTCCCAACATTTTTTAATCAATTCAAAACATTGCATAGGCATGTCTTCAGGCTTTATTCTTCTTTTTCCTGATATAACAAACTCTGCTATTTTCCATGGAAATTTAAAAATAGTGAATGGGTAAGCCATACACCATCCGAAGACCTCGAACATAGTTATAGCGAATGAATAAATATCACATGGCATTTTATATTTTTTTCTTCTTAACACTTCAGGCGCCATATATACTGGTGTTCCTATTCCTTTTGTGAATGTCATGTTAGTCATCATCATATTAATATTTCTTGCACTTCCAAAATCCGTTAATTTCGCGTTTACGCCATCTTTAGAATCAATTGAAAACACTAAGAAATTGTCTGGTTTTATATCTCTGTGTAAAATCCCATTTTCGTGTAAATATAAAATTCCTTGTGCACAATCCAAACACATTTTTATTCGCAATTTCATCTCGATTTCCTCAGACTTTTTAATTCTCATCAAGTCTTGTAAACTCCCAAATTGAGCAAATTCGGTGACCATACAGATCTTATTTGGTATAAAAACTGCACCATAAAAATGGACGATATATTCACTTCTAAATTTGTCTAACATGGCAACTTCCTTCTCAAATTCGTCCATACTCTCGTCGTCATTATAAATGTTTTTCATGCGCTTTATTGCTACTACATTTCCTCTGTAAGTGCCTTTATATAC